TGCACCGACGCCTCGGAAAGGGCGGATTGAGCCAGCGGAGAACTGGCGTCCGATCTCTCCACGATCTGAGTCAAGACGGAGAGCGCCGTGGCCGACACCTCCACGTCGCCCTTGTCGTTGTTGAGCTGCGCAAGCAGCTGCGGAACCAGATTCTCGCTCTCCAGCCACTGCGCACGACGGTGCCGTGTGTGTGTGTGTGTGTGTGTTAGACGAAACTGGTGACTGAGGAGTCGTGGGGCTTCATTCTCCCTTACCTCAATCACGCCGAGTGGATCGACCGACTCGTCCTCCATGAAGAGCCACATCACTTCGGCCAGGCGCGGAGACGAACCGGCAGCGTGTACGGCCAGTCGCTTCACCAGCCCCGGGTGGCTCTTGAGCGCCTCGAATGTCTGTTTGTGCGCGTTCGTTGGTGATGGTGAGGCGACAGATCTGCGCACAGATGGGAGGGGCGCGACAGTTATTACCTCCTTTCGGCGGTGCTTGATGAGGGAGGAGACGATCTTGCAGAGGTTTTGGACCGGCACGACGTAGAGCGGCGGGTCTCGGTCGAGCACGGCCAGCAGGCGCGCGAGGAAGGGCGCGCCAGTGTCGGCCTCGGGGCCGAGCAAGTAGTCCTGGATGGGCTTCACATCCATGCAGAACACCTCCGAACACATGTGGGCGTACCTGCGCTCGCTCAAAGCAAATGGCAGCGCGTTACACCAACGCACACGCGCAGCCGCTTGTCGCACGACACACAGGAGCGCAACCAAAAAAGATCGAAGTGTCACGAGTACCGCATGCCCTTCTCCTCGGTGTCCGTGATGCCCTGCCACTCGCCCAGTGCCAGTCGCAGCTGCAACTGCGTAGCCTCCGGAGCCAACACCCTGCGCACAGGGTGAGGGTACGCGGCACAAAGAGAAAAAGCCATCATTGCGGCTCAAGATGCGCTTTGACGGCGCGTTGGGTCATGACTTCTGACTGCTCTCAGCGGGCAACGTACAAGGAAAGGAGGCGGGGTTGATGAGCGATGACCTCGTTTAGAAATTCATCTTGGTCGAGCAGGTCTAGGCTGAAAGCGGTCTTGCTCTCCACCAGGTCCTGAAAGCTGCTGGTCGTGTCCCCGAGTGCTGCCAACAGCGCAAAGGCATTCATCTCCACCGATGCAAACAGACAAGCCACAAAAATACAAAATACAAAACCAAAACAAAATAGTCTGCAAAACAGTTTCATGCTGTCGAAACGCATTTCGGGAAACGCGAAATTTCGTCGGACAAAGATCGAGAGAATCGTGGGGATCTGGGAGGGGCGATGGTCGGAGGCAAGGGCGGAGGGAACAGGACGAAAAGCGGGGTGATTACGGCTGGCCTTCGGACCACGTCCCGTTTGGAGTGATTGGTGGTCGCTCGCTGCCTTGCCCCTACTCGAACGGCTGCACCGGCTCAAGCACCACGCCCGGATCCAACCGTCCCTCCATTCTTACATTCACACTGCCATCGAGCAAAGACCCACTTCCTACTCACCTTCATCATCACCACCACAACCACTTCATCATCATGGACGTCGGAGAAGAAGTTCCCATTGTGGAGACAGGTATTCACTATGTCCGCCCCAATACCATTCACACTGAAACAGTTGCCATCACCACAGGTCTCCTCTTGCTCTCTACCCCTTCTCTCAGTTCATCTTTTCACTCTTCGAAGAGGCCGCACAGCGCTCACATACGTCCCTTTGTTGTCAACACTGCACAGGCGAGACTCTGGGCACCACCACGACCCCTGGCGTCCCGCTCTACACCAATGCCGGACCTTGTACGTCCCCTACTCCTATAAAATAGGGCCAATGGCGATAGCGCCGTTGCATGGCAACGTTGGTTCTTACACACTTGACCCGGAAAACAGCGCGTCCGCTGAATGCGTCGACGATGCTCTTCATGGGCACTGACGACGCGGTGCGCGGCAAGCTGCCGGCCAAGTCGGCGTCGGGCCACAAGCTGCAGATCCAGACCTTCCCTCACGGCGACGGCTTCCGCAAGTTCTACGACCAGGGCGACCACTCGCACGTGGTCCTCCTGCTCAACCGCAACACCACTCGCATCGCCGAATTCGACGACCCGCTCGGCTTCTTCTTCCACCGCATCCGCCTCGGCCGTGGTACGATTGGCCCGGCCAAGGTGTTGACTTTTGGTTGTGTGCTGACGTCAGCACACATTCACGTGGTCGCTAGTGTCGTTGGTGTTCATGGGTGAGAACGACCAGGAGAACTTTGCGGCGCTGTGCGAGCTCGACCCCAACATCGCGGCGGTGAACAAGGCCGGGCGCGTGTTCTTCTGGAACGAGCTCGAGGGCACGCCCAAGCAGAAGATCGACGATCTCACCCTCCGCATCCAGGACAACCTCGGGCTCGTGCCCGCCGGCGTCCAGCAGAAGGCCGCTCTCGCGCCTCAGCGAAAGCGCGTGCTGCTCACCGAGAAGCTCGCCGGTGGTCCCTGGCAGCTCAGCAAGCTGCAAGCGCTGCTCGGCGCCCTGGCCCTCGGCGCGGTGTTCTTCTCCCTCCTCTGCTCCTTCCCGCCCATCGACAAGCACGCCACCAAGGTACCGCCTGCCCAACGCAGTCGTGCGAGCCATGCGGGGAGTGACGCGTGTGTTGGGGTGCAGCCGGTGCAGATCACAGTGCCGGGCGCGGAGAGGTGGACGCAGGAGCAGAGGGACACCTACCTGGCGGAGCTGCGTCGGCTCGAGAAGGAGCGGCTGGAGCTGAGCGTGGACCGTCAGCGCGTGGAGGCGGTGAAGCGGAAGATGATCGAAAAGATCAATGACATCGAGGACCTGGAGAAGACGATCAACACCGAGAAGCGCCACATCGTGTGCACCCTGCTCGATCGCCACAACGCGCTCCTGCAGGAGTACACCTCGGCCGACCACGCCGAGAAGCACATCGCCGAGCTCAGGCGCGACATCAGCCGCATGGAGGCGGCCCGCGCCCGCTGGTCCCCCGAGAGCCGCGATGCCATCGAGCTCGAGCGCAGCATCGCCGAGAAGAAGTACGACATGCGCGTGTGGCAGGAGGGCCTGAACGAGCTCAAGAAGATCGAGCAGGAGCTGGCCGGCAGCGACGTGTTCTCGTGGAGCCAGCTTCCCGACTACTGCGACCTGCCCCTCATCGCCCCGGCCCACTAAGCGCCCTTAGCACCTGCTGTACTTGATGAGACCAAACCACCCCCGCTCGACTCCGACACTCTTCCCGTGGCGGTCTTCTGGAGGCGATGCCTACGCGAGGCCGTTCAATGCTATACTTTCAATCCAATCTTCTTCTTGACGACGATGATGAGTGCAAAAAAAAGGGGGAAACAAAATTATTCCAAGAAGCTTCTCATCTTCCGTCTAATCACTCACTCGAACGTTCTTGGGACAAGCACACGAAGGCAATGTTGCGCGAGGCACTACAACGGAAGCGGCCGCTTCGTCGCGGAGCTGGTGCCTAGAGCTTCTTCTTTGATTTCCACCTTGATTTTTTTCAATGCTGGGGGGGGGCAATTGAAACGATTGAGAACCCGTGGTCATGCTTCAGCACCGTACGTGATCCAATCGCTAACGAATCGCCACCGGTGCAGATGAACAAAGAGGCGGCAGCGACGATGAAAGAAGCGGCAAGCGGGCCAGGATGGATGTTGAGCCCAGCAGTTCCCAGCCGGCCTACGCCATGGACAAGCAGATCATCGACCAGCTGGCCGAGGTCAAGAAGTGGCGCAACGCCTTTCAGAAGTACCAACAGAAGGTACAGCTCCAGCCCTGATGAGACCGCCGTATGTGTGTGTAAACCGCAAACCTCACAACTCGAGCCGGTGGTGCGCAGACAGCGAATGCCGCCGAAGAGCTGACGCGCGCCAACGAGCGGCTGTCCGATCTCGTGCTGCACTGGAAGAACAAACTGGTCCCACGCTCGCCTCACGTACGCCCCAGCGCCTCGCCAACTGCTTGTTGATGCCCGGCACCACAAGCTGCAAACCTACTCACATGCGCACTCACAGGAAAACGACCCGTCTGCCGAGCGCAATAGGGAGGATAGCCAAAGCGACGGGGAGCTCAGCGCGAGCGCACCGCTGTCTTTCTCCACCTCGCTGCGCGCCAGGGGCGAGCCGGTCGTAGTGCCGCGCGTCGAGCGAGTCGTCACCCAGCCGACACGTCGGGTGGTGGTACGCCGCCGCCGCGACGTCTGCTGTTGGTTGTTGTCACGGTTGGCCATGATGACTGACACCTCTGGTTGCTCGCGTGCGTGCAGGAAAAGGCCACTAGGACGCTCGAACGCCGTGCATCGCCGCCTCCGCGGCCTTCCACGCCGCCAAGGCCCTCGCCGCCGCCTCCAAAACCTTCCACCACCAGCGGCAGCGCTGGTAGCAGCAACGCGAGCAGCAGCAGCGCCGGCAATAGCATCAAAGTCGAACCGGAGGGCGATGACGATGATGACGCAGGCAACGGTGGGTCCGAGGTGAGGAGAAAGCCCTGCATTCATCACTTTTTCCCACTTTCCCGCTCGCTGTGGGCGGGTGCGTGAGTCTGTGCACGTTGGAGGTTAACCCTGTGCACGTTGTGGTTGTTGTGTGTGTTGTGCGCCAGACCGAACTCGAAGACTACCGACCCACGCGAAGGTTCGCCATCAACACAGCCACTTCGTCCTCATCTTCGTCCTCATCCTCCTCTTCCTCTGCGTCAACGTCCTCCAATTCCTCGTGGTCGGCGCCTCCGCCCTCCAGTTCCTCCACCTCGTCTTCCAAGCCAGGTACAAGCCTGTGCGTGTGTGGTGTGTGTGGTGTCGTGTGTGCCGTGTTTCCCTGCCAATGTGCGCACACTCATGGCGGACACGACCCATATCAAGCGGCGAAACCGACAGGTCTTATCCAGAGCTCCAATAAGGAGCGGAAGATGACGCATCTGCGCCAGAGCTACGTTACGGGCCACACCAAGAAGCTGCGCTCGCTCGTATTCAACCCGACCACGCCCAACCTGCTGGCCACCTGTGCGCTCGACGGCTTCGTCAAGATCTGGAACCTCGCCAGTGCCCACTCGTACGCCTTTGCTCTCCGGCATTCGACCGTTTACACGCCCACGCCCACGCCCACGCCCACGCCCACGCCCACGCCCACGCACACGCACCACGCCCACGCCCACGCCCACCGCCCACGCCCACGCCCACGCCCACGCCCACGCCCACGCCCACGCCCACGCCCACGCCCACGCCCACGCCCACGCCCACGCCCACGCCCACGCCCACGCCCACGCCCACGCCCACGCCCACGCCCACGCCCACGCCCACGCCCACGCCCACGCCCACGCCCACGCCCACGCCCACGCCCACGCCCACGCCCACGCCCACGCCCACGCCCACGGGCTGATCGTGTGTCGTGTGCCACACTAGGTCGCTGCAGGAGGTGGCGTCAGTGAACACTACTAGCGCGAGCAAGATCTATCCCATCGACATGGTGCGACTGACCATCCTTTCTCACACGCATTGCTGGGAAGTGGAGGCGGGATTCTAATGCACCCAATTGCCCCTCAATCGGTCAGACGTGGAGTTCTACCGGTGGCCAGTGCGCGATCGTCTTCAACAACGGCCGCGCGGGCAATCAGCCACAGTACGGCACCACCACGGCACCACCACGGCACACGCGGCACACACGCATTGCTTAACGACGGTCCGATCGCAGGCTGGCGATTGTGGACGCGAGCAAGGCGGAGACGGCGCATAAGCTGGGGCTGGTGTACATCAAGGACACGCCGCACGAGGGCTACCCCAACCAGGTGCGCTACTTCCCGGGCCAGTCCAACCGGCTGCTCACGGGCGGCACCGACCACACGGTGGTCGAGTGGCGCATCGATGGCGAGGTACGCACGCGGCTCGTGCACATCCAGCACACGTCGCAGATCCAAAGCATGTCCATCGCCGACGACATCCTCTTCACCGGCGGCGCCGACAGGTAAAGCAAACCTCAACGACACGACACACCGCGCACAGGCTAAGCCGTGTGTTTGGTGTGTGTTGTGTGTGTGTTGTGTGTGTGTTGTGTGTGTGTGTGTGTGTATGCAGGCGATTTGTAGCGTGGAATTTGCCGCAGGATCGGTTGGTATGGGAGGAGCGCATCAACGAAAAGGTTAACTTCGTAGAACCCAGTCCGGCGGACAGCAACATCATCATGATCGGTGCGGGTCCCCATCGCCCACTCGCGATCGCAATCGTTTCGTTTCTGCGTGCGCCGCCGGGCTCACACGACAAGCGCGGTGCGCGCGGGCTTAACACAGGCAACACGGGCAAGAGCAACCAGTTGGCGCTGTTCGACCGACGGATTCAGGAGCGCGTGGTGCAGCTGGGCTGGACGCCGCAAACGTCAGTGTCCATGAGCCAGTTCATTCACCCGGCCTGGTCCCCCTGCGGCACCCTCGTCTCCTCGTACGGCCGTCTCCTCCTCGCGTTTTTTTTGTAGCTATTTATTGTATCGTGCGTGTGCTGTGGTGCGTGCTGTTTCGTGGTGCCTGACCCCGTTCGCGCCACAGTGGGAGTACCGACCCGACGATCCACATGTTTGATGTGCGCTATGCGCGGGTCGGCAAGCCCTCGTTCTCCGTAGCAGCACACGGTACGCATTACATGTCGTGTGTCTCTCTTTCTTTCCTTTTCGTGTGGAGGTGAAGGGAACTAAACACAACACAAAAAACAAACAACAACTTCTTGTTCTGGACACAGAGCTGCGGGTGTTGAAGGCGGTGTTCCATCCAGAGTACAGTGGGGTGCTGGCCTCCATCAGCAGTGACAAGAAGATTGGCCTTCACTCCCTCACCCTCTCCTGATGGTCCTCCAATTCAATTTTACAAGAAACTTGACCCCAGCCAATTTTTATGGGGAGCGAGAGCGCGGTCAGGAGGCGTTGGCGAAGCTGCCGAAGCATGCTCTTGGCGGCCTCAGGTCGAAGAACACGACCCCGCCAGGCAACTACCAGTAGTTGGAGAAAGCCTGCGTGAGAAAATGAGTAAGAAAACCCAAAGTGATTTCTTACCTTTGGGTCAAGATGAACCCAAGGTCCTATTGTCAGATGTTTAATTACTCCTCCCTCTTCTTCTGAAGCCTTTACTTGTGGTGCGCTGAAGCGCGGTGCAGGAAGGGCATTAAAAGGGACCTCCAGCGACCTTTGTTGTCTTGTGCAGCACCACACACGACTCACCCGACCCTAACAATCACCCAACCGCGGCGTACACTATGCGCAACAACTCGATCACCTGCCTGCTGGCCCTCTCCTTCGTCCTTGCTGCGTGCCTGGGCGTGGAGGGCATGACCTCCTTCCCCGCCAACATCAGGGTGCCCGACGGCCACACCTTCGCCGTCTCCTACTTCGCGGCGGGCTTTCAGATCTACCGCTGCAACGTGTCCACCGGCTCGTGGGTTCTGAACCGGCCTGAGGCCGACCTCTGGCCGAGCAAGATCGGGCATGACCTGAACGAGACCCGCGTGGGCTACCACAGGTTCGTCGACGGCCGCCCCACCTGGTACACAGTCTCCGGTGCGGGTCCCACACAAAAAGCAGGCCACATCATTGGCTTGATTACCTGATCATCACCCCCCCCCTTTGCACGTGTAGCGAAGGACTACCATGTGACGGACTCGCGAGTAACTGCTAAGGCTGAGGCAACGGCTCCTGATGCGCCCAACATTGCGTGGGTGCTGCTCAAGACCTTCTCCACGGAAGGCTGTGGCCCCCTTTCGCGTGTGACCTACGTCCATAGAGTTAATACCAACGTTCGTTCCCCAAAAAAGTCAATCTAATTGTGGTGTACATACTACATACTACAACACTAAACTCCACGCGCGTGTGCTACAGGGAGGCACTGCGCCGGCAGGTGCATGCAGCGAAGGCGACGGCGAGTACTCGTCGCCCTACACTGCAGAGTACTGGTACTGGGTGGCCACGGAGGACGCGGTCTGCGGTAGTGCCTCCGTCCGCACATCATCCATCTTCTCCATCTAGAATCAGGTCCACTACACGTGGGTCTGGAACCATGGACCCTAGCTGTACTGAATCAATCAGAAATAGATGTCCTGCCACCGCACCACGCGGCCAACCTCTCGCCCTGGCTGCTAAGGGCAAGCGTTATTGGGGTACCTTTATGTCGCCCCACTGTGGGGATTGGAGCTGTAGGGAACATATCGGCTTGGGGAAAATAAATGGTCGGGGAAAGAACGCCAGTCATTGTGGGGATTTTTGGCGGCAACATGACTTTCTATGACAATGTGGTGTGGGTTACAGCACTGTGGGTGGGTTCCATTGCCGCTCTTGGCCAAAATCAACCTTGTGAAGGTTTCACTACACTGCACCACAGCTCCTCCACACCACACCATCTGCAACCAGCGCCTCTACATTGGCGCCTGCAAACAAGGTCAGTAACTCTGAAGACACTCAACAGAGCGCTGAGCAGACCTCTATAATGTGCACATAGAGCAGCAGCAAGCTCTTCAATTTGTGCCATCAGTCTGATTTGGAATGAATGCACTTGTGTCTGGCCTTTAGGAAATCTGCTGCTGAGCTAATTTCCACCTGATATCCATTCTCAAGGTGCCCAGTGCATTCATGCGAGGGAGTGCTTACTCCCTGGGTGCTGCAAACGTCATTTTCTTTGGCGTACGGAGCAAACATGCAGAGGAGGAGGAGGAAAAGGGAAAAATGAGGGCTGCGCTGCGCCTTAGGCGAGTTCGGAAAGTTGGGCGAGGAACTGCCGTGCGCTCAGGATCTCCGTGGAACCATAGATGATCTGCTTTGGCGTCTCGCCAACTCCCCTTGGTTGCTCCTGCGATAGTACCGCACATGTGAGCACGCACACATCACCGCACATGACACACGACACACAGCGCCCATCTATATACCTTAGCATAGTCCTGGAGGTTCTGGAATTCGACGTAGTTGCCGCCGCCGATTACAAAGACGATGGCGTGGGTGTAGGGGGTGTTTTTGCGGGGCATGGAAGCCTGCAGGTGCGGGTTGGTCACCTTGGGGTCGTAGTACTCGTACTGCTCCTCGACCCCGCCGAGCGAGCTCCCGCCGCGCTGCTCCATCAGCGCGTCGACGACGCGCGTCAGATAGAGGTGGCGCGACGACGGGATCCACATCTTGATGTGGTTCACGCCCTGCTGCACGAGCGACGCCAAACTGGTCGTGACCGACCCGCGCACCGACCCGCCCGAGCGGCTCGACGTGCGCTGCGCGCCGCCCATCAAACTGTTGTTGAACGCCTTCACCCTGATCATCGACCACCAACCACCCCATCAGTCGCGCCACGTCATCATGCCACGTCACACGTGTGTGTGTGTGCGTGTGCGGTGGTGCGTGTGTCGTTGTGGTGCTGAATGGCGAACTTTTTGAGGTACTGGAAGGGCCTGAGGTCGACCCCGGCCTCGGTCAGGGCGGCCTCGTATCTGGGGAGGTCCTCCTCCGGGATGGCGGTGGTCAGGTAGAAGATGAGGAACAGCCGCAGCTTGTCCTCCGCCGTGTCCCCCTTGGCCGCGAGCAGCCCCAAAATCTCCTTCTTGTCCTGCGCAACACACACACACACACACACACACACACACACACACGCACACACGCACACAAGCTCATTCAGCACACAACGACGCACACGCACACGCACACGCACAAGAGGAGACGTACGGGGGTGGCGTGGGTGGTGATGGCCTCCTCGAGCTTGAGGTAGGCGTCGAGGTTGCGCTGCTTGATGCGCTCGAAGAGGGCTGTGGCGATGTTGAGGTGCATGTCGATCAGCGGCTTCTTCTCCGTCACCTCGAACATCGACCCCACCAGCGACCCCAGGTGCTTCGTCCTGTCCAGCCTCGCCCTGTCCGCACGCATGTAAACACATGCTCGTGTCGTGTCGTGTCGTGTCGTGTCGTGTCGTACAGGGGATCATCGTCGTCGTTGACTTTGAGTTTTTTGAGTTCGTCCATGATGGCCGTGTACTCCTTCACCTGCGCCTCCACATCAACTGTAGTGGACCAACCGCATGACACGCAACGCACACACACACGCACACACGTCACAAACTTCTTCTTCGCCAATACACTCACGCCGCACACGCCGCACACGCCACCGCACGCCGCACACGCCGCACACGCCACCGCACGCGCGCGACTGTGGTTGAGGTCGCGCGTACCGACGACCTTGGTCCACGGGTTGCCCGCGTTGGCGATCCAGAAGCCGTCCGAGGCCGGATCGAGGTCGTAGGTCTTGGTCTCGACGCCGCCCGACTTGCCGGACGCGGCGTCGGCCTCGACCTCCTGCTCGAGGCGGATCGTGTTGAGCTTCATGTCCAGCAGGTCGTGCACCAGCGCCTGGTAGGTCCACGTGTGGTGGAACATCACCGACATGTCCACGTTCCTGTCCACCAGCACCACCACTGCCTCGCCGCACACGCACACGCACACGCACACGCACCGCACACACACACCGCACACACCGCACACGCGTGAGTTGGGTTGATTGGGCGGAGGAGCGGAGGCGAGGCGTACGCGGGCGTTGGAAGGAGGAGGAGAGTGAGTCGGAGAGCGTGGAGGAGCGGAGGAGGTGCTCCCGCAGGCGATCGCACACCCGCTTGGCCACCATCGACGCCGCCGTGTTGCGCGGTGCCCGGATGATCGGCACTTGGCCCTGCGTGTGCGTTAGTCGTGTGTCGTGTCGTGTGCGTGCGTGTCGTGTCGTGTCGTGCCGGAGGAATGGGAATCGTACGAGGGTGACGATGACCGAGTAGAGCGAGAGGGCGAGGGCTTCGACGTTGGCCTCGGCCTGGGCGTCGGTGATCGACGGGCTGTTGAAGGCCAGGTACGACCGCTCCTGCCCGAGCGTGAACAGCTTGTCCTCCAGTGCCATGAAGTGCACGTACTGATCATACACCTGTGTGTGCGGTTGTGCGTGTGTCGTGTCATCAGCGGCGTGTGCGGTGTGTGCGACGGTGCGTGTGTCGTGTCGAGCGTGTGTGCGTGTGTGCGTGTGTGCGTGTGTGCGTGTGTGCGTGTGTGCGTGTGTGCGTGTGTGCGTGTGTGCGTGTGTGCGTGTGTCGTGTGTGCGTGTGTCGTGTCGTGTCGTGTCGTGTCGTGTCGTGTCGTGTCGTGTCGTGTCGTGTCGTGTCGTGTCGTGTCGTGTCGTGTCGTGCCGC